CCTGAACTTTTTCTAGGTTCTAACTCCTTATTGGGCCAGGACCTGCAACCCTTAATTTGTAGCCATCTCCAAAAGGGAGTATTTCAGCTTTGGAAATGAAGGTGGATATGGGGTCAGAAAAGAGTGGGGAGAGGACAGACAGTGGCGAGGCAGTACAATGTGACTGTGAGGCACAAATCTCACATGGAAAGGTTCATGGTTCAAGTCTGGAGACCTTCCTGAGTATGTCTGGCACATGCATGACCATGATCTGAAGGCTGAAGGAAGATCGTGGCATTAAGCTCATTGGGGGTACTGTTTCTCCTCTTCTTTCTCTCATTCATGGAAGAAATAACTAAACATATATATATATATAAAATTTTAACTATAGGGCATAGAGACTTGTCAGATGGCAGGGGCAGGTGGAAAGTAAGAAATCACTCCTCCAGGGGGGGATGGTCATGCTGCACTTCCTTCTGCAGTCTTCTCTTGGGCTTTAGGTCATGCACATACATGCACCTGGTATGATTTTCTAACCAGGTCTGGGACTTGAACCCTGCAGTTAGCTATGTAGAATCCTGTGCCTTAACCTCCACAACACCTCTTAGCCCCAAAAAATAAAATACTTTTAAAAAAATAAACAGAGAAGAGACAAAACTTTCTGCTCTCTCCAGGTCAGAACTATTGAGGTCAGTGTGCTTGGGGCCAGGGATTGTGGCCATTGTACCTTAAGCATTTCATCACCTCAAGGTGGTCCAAGGAAAGAACTCTAGGAAAGGTCTGTAGGCTATTGAAAGAATTGAGGAAAGGATAGACTGACCCTGTGACCTAGTGGTTAGGGGAGTCAGATTCCAAATGGTTGATTGTGCTGTTCAAATACTGGCCTCAGCTCCTTGAGAAACACGCTGGGTTCTTTTCTTTCTTTCTTTCTTTCTTTTTTTTAAAGCTAGGTCTTTATTTTATTTATTCATTCTTTTATTTTAATTTGACCAGAGAGAGTGAGAGAAAGAGAGAGAGGGAAAGTGAGAAAGCAAGCCACCAGATTGAGGACTTGAACTGTAATTGGCCATGTGGGAGTGTCCAGTCCCTTAACCACCACATCACCTGCTGATCCCCATACTGGGTTCTTGAACCTACATGCCCCAAATCCCAACAGGATGGAGAAATGAAGGAGAAGGGATTGTGGTGTGACCATATCCCTTTTGTGGGTGCTTTCTCCCTCTCTGTCTCTCTGGTGATTGCAGGTGTCCTCTGACAAATTAAAAAATAAATGAAATAAAAAAGGGACAAAGGTCACTCCTTCACTACACTCATGTCCTTCAGCTCCTGTGTGATTATCTTTTGCTGACCATGTGCTTGGTCAAACCCTCTCTTCACATGCTTTACTCCCAAAGCCTCAACCCAAGATAGATCCTTGTGTTTCCAGTCTATTCAGAGAATCAAGGTAGTCAAAGACCCTAACTGAGAAAGTTATCTGCCTTTTTGTTGAGTTTTTCTTTAGCTCTTTTCTCTCTTTAGATAACTTTCTTCCTGACTTCTCTCAGATCTTCCTACACCACCTTAGACTTAATGAATAAATGATTTTCAGAACTAGATCTCCTCTAGTGGCTGAACATATAGGTTACAGCTCTTTAAAAATTAAATAGCACTGGGGTTGGCAGGTGACATGGTGATTAAGGGGCCTAAATTCCCACATGGCCAATGCGGTTCGAGTCCTGGACCTGGTAGCTTGCTTTCTCACTTTCCCTCTATCTCACGTGCATGCTCTGTTCTTTTCTGGTCAGATTAAAAAAATAAAAATTAAATAAAGTTAAATAAAATAATTTAAAAAGAAAAGTTAAACAGCATTGGAGCTGACATGTGGCATGGTGTTTAATGTCTCTGGACTCCCACATGGCTGACTGCAGTTTGAGTCATCAGTTCAAGTTATGGACCTGGTGGCTTGCTTTCTCACTTTCTCTCTCTCTCTTTCTCTCTCTCGTCAAATTAAAACAACTAACTAAATTAATAAAGTTAAATAATAAAATAATTCTTTATTTAAAAAAAAGAAAAAACAGCATCAGTCAGTCAGGAATAAAATAATTCTTTATTAAAAAAAAGAAAAAACAGCATCAATCAGTCAGTGGTGTGGTAGTTAAGGCAGCTGGACCCACATGGCTAATTGTGTGGTTTAAGTCTTGAACCAGGTGGCTTAAAAATCATGCCAGGCGCATATGTGTGCCTCTCCAGACTCCTGACAGGAGAATGGAGGAGACAGGATTGTGGTATGGCCATCCTCCCCTGAGGGGTGATTTCTTACTTTCTTACTTTCCCCTGGGGGGGGAGTTTTTTGCTATAGGGCGCGTGCACTCGCCAGCAAGACAGAGAGAGACAGAAAGACAGAAAGCGAGAAATCACCCCCCAGGGGAGATGGCCACGCTGCAATCCCTTCTCCTCCATTCTCCTCTCAGGATCTTGGGCATGCACGCACACGTGCCCAGCGTGAGTTTTAAGCCACTGGGTCCGGGACTCGAACTGTGGTCAACTACATGGGAGTCCAGCCATTATGCGAACTCCTAGTCCCTTACTTTCCCTTTTTCTCTCCCTATCTCTCTCTGGGTCCTATAGTAAAACTTAAAAAAAAAAAAAAAATTAACAGTATATGAGAAAAGCATGGGAAAAGAAGACCCAAAATATTCACTCACTCAAGTGAGGAAACAGTTGGGCCAGTACCCTGTTGGGCCAGAAGTATACTTAAGCAAGCTCCTACACAGAAACTGTCCTGCAGCGAGGTAGAAACTGTGTATTGAAGGTTAAAGGAAGTCCAGTGGAGCTTTTTGTACTCTGAGGGAGGGATGGGTTTCCTCTGGGAGAGCAGCTCTAGCTGTGTATTTCCTTCCTCAGATTTTGCAGCACTGCTCAGTGTTAGCCACTGGTCATCCAAAACTATTTAAAGTTCACTTAACTGAATTCACAGAATTGAACATTCAGTTCGCCAGTGACATGTGGCCACATTTCAGAGCTTAGTAGCCACACGAGACTAACGGCTACTGTATAGGACAGTGCGGACACAGACAGCCCAATCATCTCAGAAAGTTCTATCGGAAGTGCTGGATTAGGGGTGTTAGGATATAAGGAGAAAATGTGTGTGTTCTGATCCTTTCTGGATCACCTTGGGTATAAGTCATCTATCCTCTCCCTGCCATCCCTTTCCTCTATCAGGTACCAGGAGCCAGACCATGTACACAAACAACCAGGCTCATGTGCTAATATAAGGTCTCTCCATCCCTTTGTCCTGCCCTCTGGCCTGCTCTTGTCCTTGCTCCACCCCTCCAGTCCCTGGAAAACAAGCTGCAGAAAACTTTTCCATCAACTTTGACCTAGTTTTCTGCTCACAGACTTGAAGTAGAGAAGCCATTAAATTCTTGAACAGGTGAGAAAGTGGGGGTGGTGTTTCAGGTAAAAGTCACTAAGTCAATACGGAAAGCCAGAGACTGACCCACTGGTATTGAAAACAAGGAGAGCCAGGAGGGTACAAAAGAGCTATGGAGAATGAAAGACAAACAATGAAGCCTTCGGTTCAATTCACAGATTTTATGCACCACTTCTGAGAACGTGCTATTTGGAGCTACTATGTGGAAGCACAAAGAAAAGTGAAGACTAGACCTATTGGAAAGATTTAAATAAGAGATAAAAAGTTCATTGACTTCTGCTAGCTCAGGGTTTCTCAGTTGTCACTCTTTTTAAAAATCACTTCAACTAGAGATGGAATCGTAGTATTAACCTATTATTATTATAAAGAAGAAATAGGAAACTGCTAAACCATATCCTAAAGGATGAAGGTGGCATTGAATATATAACAAACATTTACTGAATTATGATTATATGCTTGGATAGAAACTGCACTAATTGCAACTGTAGAGATAAAAGTGGTACCTGTTTCCAAAGAATTTAGTATTTTTACATTTTTGTTTTGCTATGGGGCACAGTTTACTCACTGGAGAGAAAAAGTGAGAAAGCACCCCCTAGGGGAGATGGCCACGTTACTTGTTACTATCTCTTTTCCATTCTCAGGATTTTGGGCATCTACACATGTGCCTTGGGCTTGTTTTTTGGGGGAGAGGTTTTTCCCTATAGGGCACGTGCGCTTGCTAGACAGACAGAGACATAGAGACAGAAAGCGAGAAATCACCCCCCAGGGGGGATGGTCACGCCGCAATCCCTTCTCCTCCATTCTCCTCTCGGGATCTTGGGCACGCACGCACACACGCCTGGCGTTGAGTTTTAAGCCACCGGGTCCGGGACACGAACCGCAGTCGATTACATGGGAGTCCAGCCACATAGCCATTACGCTAACTGCTGGTTCCCAGGCTTGTTTTTCAAGACACGGGGTCTGGAACTCCAGTTGTGCAGTCAGCCTTGTGGGACAGTCACCTTAATCACCATGCTGTACCTGGCCCAAATTTTATACCCTAAACTCTTACATCCTCATTAGTTATTCTCGTCAGCATATAACCCAAGCTTACAGTGGGAAGAAACTGGTATGAACTATAAAGGAACCTTGACCTTCTCCTTCCAAATCTTCTCAAACCTCATTTTTTTAAATAATGATTTTTAACTTTTATTTTTAATTTTGACCAGAGAGGGGACAGAGTGAGAGGGAAAGTAAGAAAGCAAGCCGCCAAGTCTGGGACTCAAAACGGGGTCCGCCATGTGGAAGACCAGTGCCCTCAACCACCACACCACCTGCTGGCTCCTTCCTTTCCCTTTATTTCAAGACCTCACAAACGCTAAAATTGAATTTGGTAATGTTTAACCATGGATGTGGAACTAGCTTAGATCACCAGAAAATCCCACTAGTTCTTCAGTGAATCCAAAAGGCCTATGAGGCGCCTCCAAACTCCACTGATTACGTTCCTTGGGGTGAATAGGAACCCGAGTTTCCAGTAAGGTGAATTTTTTGGGAAGTAGAGAAAAGCTACTTTAGGTTCACCTTCCTTCTGAAAAGGCCTCTGATGTCATCTCAGACAAGGAGAAACAACTTTTTGCCATTAAAAAACTTTTTATTTATTTATTTTTTACAAAGAATACCCCCATCTGGGTTGAAAATATATCTGGTTAAGTACAAAATATAGCTTTGATCATACAAAAAGATACAATTATAAAACAACAAAAAGAAACCATCTTAAGCCCACATACTTTCTGGCTGTGTTAACTCTCAGGAAAGGGTGGAGCTCAGTGCTCTGACACAGGACAGCAAACAAAGTGCTACAGCTGAAGGTGACTGACCAAGTGCTAGTGGCTGCAATAACCCCAACACAGGGCAAGAAGGGCATCGAATGGGCTTTTGTGAAGACCTGCCCCCCCAATTTCTCATGGCAGTGTCTGTAAGCCCTGATCACAGTGCCGGGATATCTTGTTCTAGAGATTCTCTTTGGATTTGGAGAAATCACAGTGGACGGAGGCTGACAACAGCAACCTTTTCATATTAGAGTGTCAGAGTTACATAACTCTGCACACTGTGACAAAGTCTTAAGACTTTTTTTTTTTTTTTTTTTGGTCATTGGGCTAGCAACATAGACCAGTTTCAGCTTACATTTGGGGTTGGGAGGGACCAAAAAATTGACGGGAACTAAAGTGCTAAGAAAATCACCTTAGAATCAATTCCAAGGAGTCACATGAAAAGAAAAACACATTCTCCCACATGAAAACATTTGCAACAGGAGAACACAGTGCAATAGGTTCCAAAAATGGCTTTTAAAACCTTTGGTGAGGCACAGTTATTACTGCTTTGAACCATGTTAAAGCACACTGTATTTAATCAAAGAATCTTCGAGCAGCTTCCTCTTCAAAGTCCAAACCCAATTAACCTGGGAGAGTTTTTGTTTCTATAAGTGTACGAAAGGGAACGCTGATTTTAAGAACCTTTTTCCAGAGTTTTGACCACAATCTTTTAAATTTTTCTAACTCTGCTAAATTGGCTCTGTTCCACTTGGCACAAAAGTTCAAGATTGGATGTTAAAATGATGAATACCCTTGGGAAAGACCATACCAAAAAGCCATTTCAGCTCTGACTCAAAACAACTGAAAATGCCTCATTTTTCAAGAGATCTGCGAAAATGGGATGTGCTTGATTTTTTCCTAGTGTATGTTTCAAAACCCATTCAGCAAACATCCCTAATCCCTATATCACAACATCGGTGCTGACCAAGGGGTAAGTCCACACCCTTTAAGGCCCAGAAGATTGCCGGCTGATCACCTCCCATGTTAGGGACTCAGAGGCTGGGGTGGACCTAATACCCCACTGCAGAGACGTTGAGTCTCTAAAAAAGTGAGTGTCCAGTAAGAGGTCCAAAGTAGGTATAGCTACTTCTCTTCCACGTGTTCACTGTACGTTGTTATTGAGGATGCAAGGATCCACCTGGAAAAAAGGGGAGGGAGGGAAAAACTTTAGTTTGGCTAAGAACTCAAAAGTTAACAACCCAGTTTAGAAGTCCTTCCAAGTAAACTTTTCATTGGGTTACAACCAATGCAAACAGTAAAAATTACGATTCTCACCTCAGTGTAAGTAGGTGGTGGCATGAACTTAAACTCAGGAGCATACATGAAGATAGGGCTGTCTTGAGAGCCATCCATGTCATCTAGCAGAGGAGTGGTGGGGCTCTCCAAGCGATGATCTTCAGGAATGATATCCATGTAACAAGGAGGAGCTAGAAGAAGAAATATGGGAAGTAATTAGTTTGGCCAAAAAAACGCCTGACCATCACAATTTTACAAATCCAAGCAGGCAAAGAAGAGATATTAGGTTTGGCTCACCTTCTGGGGTTTCAGGGAGATTCAGATCTACCCAACTCATCTCTGAGCTGGTTCGGCTGGCCATGCTAGAAGTCCGGCTGCTCAGTCCTGATCTGCTGCCGATTACCAGGGGCAGGTCAAGGATGACTTTCTTGGAACCAGGAACACTCACGTAGATCTTGAAGGTAAAAAGGCAAGTTTGTTAGATTAAAAGTCTGGAGAATTCACCATTCTTTTGGTGACAGAAATAGAATTTCTCTCCTGGAATCACTCCCATCCACTCACCAGTAATGAATATTCAACTCGAAGGATGTTGCAGCCCAAGATGGATGGCCTGATCTTCTGCACCCGAAGGCTCTTGCCACGCCACGATGCACATGTCCCTGAGATAATATGATTGCCTCTGACTGATGACAACTTCTGAGTTAACACCTTGGTCTGGCCATTGGCAAGGTAAGTGTGGCGGGCCACGATGGCAGCTTTGGGGACCACAATGCGGGAACACGTATTCTCAAAATCAGCATGGATGGAAATTTCATCACCTAACAATGAGAAGATAAAAACTTATTAACTCATAGTAGAGATCATGACATTTTCTTTGTCTTGGTCTTCCCTATGCCCTTGTCCCCAAACCCACAGTTCTATCTGCCCACCACTTCAAACACAAACTTTTTACCTTCACAGAATCCTTTTCTGTCAATCTGGGCAGACACAGACACCCGCCCATCAGGAATGAACATGCAGGAAACTTTCTTCTCCTTTTTAGCAGACACTGGTGCCTATGTAGGAAAAAAGAAAGCATTTTGAAATGCTTCAATCTAATGCCCAAGACACCTGACATATCATCTTTTGACCTAGAAGAACACAATCTTAAAATGAAAATGAACCTCACCATTAAATCAGGTGTATTGACATCCACTAGATCCATCACTTCAAAGTATTTCTTTGTCTCTTGCGTTGGTTGGCTGGGCCGATCAAGAAAAGCCTTCACCCAGTAGTCTACACATCCATATTTGCCCTTGAAAGACGTTCCCAAAGGCCTGTGTCAACAAAAAAAGGAAAATTTTAAAATGCTCTCAGAAAGTGATGAAAAGAGTAAATTTTTAGAGACAGAAAATTTACACCAACATGCAAGTAGTTGATACCTACCCCTGAGGAAGCTCAAAGCCGAACTTGTACTCGTATTTGTTTCCAGGTCTCATGATCACCATCTCATTCTCACCTAAAGGGAGAGAAGAAATCATCAGGTTTCTTGTTACCCTTTAAATCGCCATCTATTAGAGATGAATGGAGAGCAACAGGAATATTATAGTACCCATTTTCATCCCTTATAGTCTTAAATCTGGTACATTTTGTTAGGCAGCAAGTTGCAAAGTCCTGCAAAAAGCTCACCCAGAACAGCTTCCTCACTAACATCTCAAACAGGAAACAAATAAGCAACTTGCATATATACAAATCTTTATAAATACCTGAGGCAAGACCAGCAGGGATCACTTTAAAACACACCTAATTCGTACCAATGGCCCTTTTGGGATGTTTGCACATTAAAAAGAAAAGGAACTCACACACAATTCCAACCACTCAAACCAAGAGCAACTTGAAGCATTTAGGATCCGCTGCGTTCACTTATTAAATTCTCTTCTCTACCTAACTTCCACCCTCCAACAATGGAAAATTTGGCCCTTTACCTGTTGGCTGGTCTTCCAGGAGAAGCGTGTCTTCGTAGCGCAGGTACTCCAAGGTCTGCTTGCACTGCTGGGAGCCCTGCAGCCAGAGCACTTTGGCCACTCCGCAAGCCAGGACCCTGACGGCTTTGACTCGAGTAACTTCACACACCTCCACTATCACCCGGCCGGCCACCTTATCGCCACTTCCGTACACCCTTTCGGGGTCATTAAAGACCACCTCAAAAGACTTGATCTTCTTGAACATCACCATGATTGGGCTTAGTTAGCTCAAGAATCAGAAACAGGGTGGGAGAAAAAATCCGAAACTCCAAGAACCCCCCTTTGCAGTAAATGAAGATTTCACACTTCCTAAAGAACGAGTGTCTCCTTAAGCAGGCTAGGCATTCAAAGATTATAATAAAATAATATTTTAAAAAGCCCACAAAGGGATCTTCAAGTTTCTGAAAAAGTATCCAAAATCTGTAGATATCAATGGATCTCAAAAAGAAAAAAAGCTTTGCTTTCCTTTCCCCAAAGGCTAGCGAGAAACTCCGGATCTCAGCTAATACTACTCCGTCCCAGTAGATTAAGGGATGGTTTCGACCTGGAGCCGGAAACTGCTTTATATAGTAGGCAGAGCCGGCTGGGCCACGCGAGCGCAGGCCCGGAGGCTCGTGCTGCCCTCGTGCACAGTTCTCTCATTGGCTGCCCGGTCCTTGTTTACCAGGAGCCCAGCCAATCAGTGGGGTCGCGGAGGCGCGTGGACACGGTGTGCTCCTGGCGGGGAAAATGGTTGTTGTGCACCCGGGCGCCGCGGGGAGGAGGGGCAGCATTGGCACGAGTGGGCGGAGGGGGTTGCGCGGCGTCTTCCCCTGGGCCGAGCGGAAGGAAGATCCCATGACCCTAAAACTCAACCACCGGAGAGCGGCAGTCAGAGCGGCTGCGGATGCCCTGGCCTGGGAACGGTGTTTTGAGGTGAAAGGCAAATGTGCTTATGAGGGAATTTCCTGCCCAGGCTTGGCCAGTGTGGTTCTTTGAGAGGCCACCGTTTATTCCCGGCTCACAAGTCGCTGGTCTGTGAAAAACAACCCCGTAGCTCTGAGAATACTTTAGGATTGGGGCAGAGGGCAGGGAATGCTGCTGTTACGGTTTAGAAATCCCTTTTGTCTTTCTCTTGCCCCGCATCTCTGCTTAAAACAACAAACGTGCTTGTAGCCAAAGGAAGGGAGAGCTTGACACAGATTTTAAACCTGTCATCAGTCATTGGAAAGCAGACCCATGGGACAAATGTGTCTTCTCTCCCATCTGTAGCCCGCGGGGCTCTGGGGCGGTGTGCTGGGCTGTTCCTCACCGCCCTGTACGCTGTATTCTGTTCTCTGGAAGGGAAATGGTAAGGGCGTGTTCACATCCTGTTGCTTATCCCCTCATCGCTTCAGTTTCTACCTGCAAAGTCGGGGAACACTTTGTCTATGTTCCCTGTTTTCCTCATCACCTCTTGAGTCAGGCGTGTCCTGTAGGCTCTGATTATCTCTAACGCCCCCAGCTTCTCCAGGAAAGAAGAAAAAGGATGCTAAACTCCCTTTTCTTCTGGAGTTACTCTCACCCATCTCACTGAATCAAATGCACATCCGAGAGAGTTCTCTTGTTTATAACCAAAGTGTCAGTGGAGACGTGGCCAGGCTCCTGTTGAAAGGAACAAGTTCCTTACCTTTGAAACATTTTTTTCCCTAAGCTGTGTAGGAATCAGTGAAATTTTTTAGAAAGAAGGGTCACTAGAGCTCACGTTCAAGCTAAGGGGACCCTGCGCTTCTCTGTGCTGGTTCCGGCTGGCTGGCAGGTTTTTCCGCAGAAGCCTTAGGAGCTGACTACTGAGAAATGATTCCCAAATGTAAGAAAAACATGTAGGCACAGATGCAGGGATTGAGTCTTCCAGTTCCTTAGTTTCTAGATCCCTCCAGTATCTGTGTTGGGGTATCAGGAGATGATTATTTCATTCCTTTTGCTGGAAAGAGGAAGATAATGTCCTCTATATGCAGATGGGGGAAGTGAGAAGCTTTTGAATAGGGTAAGGAAAATTCTACCTCTCAGCAAAAAAAGATTATTCTTTGCTGTTCAGGATCCTTCTTCCTTTTTCATGTACTGGGCTTGACACCCTAAGGCTAACAAGTTAAATTCAGTCTTAATATTAAGTAAGCTGGAGAGAATAGGCTTCATGACTATGGGAAAACACACACACACACACACACACACACACACACACATACGCACGCATATACACACACGCCACCACCAAGTCCCAGGAACATGTTGATCCTTAAATGTGCGTGGGTTTAAGGCGGCACCCTGTTCTAGAAAGTTACCAATTAGGCTTGAGGTGTTTTCAGTTGGTCTATGATGTCAATTGAATTAGTGGGAATAGGTGAGGTGGGAGTCACACTGAAGTATTTTTTTAAAGAATTATTTAATTTTATTAATAATATTATTTTTTTGGAGAGGTTTTTACTATAGGGTGCGTGCGCTTGCCAGCCAGAGAGAGAGAGATAGAAGCGAGAACTCACCCCCCCAGGGGGATGGCCACGCCACAATTCCTTCCCCTCCATTCTCCTCTCTCCTCTTGGGATCTTGGGCACGCACGCACACGCGCCCGGCATGAGTTTTAAGCCACCGGGTCCAGGACTCAAACCGCGGTTGACTACGTGGGAGGCCAGCAACATAGCCATTATGCTAACTGCTGGTCCCATTAATACTACTATTTTAACTTGACCAGAGAGAGAAACAGAGATAGAAAATGAGAAAGCAAGCCATCATGTCCAGGACACACCATGGTCAGCTGCTATGTCCAGGACTTGAACCATGATCAGCTAATGGGGAGTCCGGGGTCCCTAATCACCATGCCACCTGCCGGTCCCCTTTGTAAACATTTTAATGTTTTACATTTATATATACTTTCTTTTAAGAATTATTATTTTATGTATTCATTCACTCATTTTTAATTTGATCCCGGGGGTGGGGGGTGTGAGAAAGCAAGCCACCAGGTCAGGGACTCAAACCATGGTTGGCCATGTGGGAGTGTCCAGCGACTTAACCACCACACCACCTGATGACCTCCATGTATTTTTTTAAATATTTATTTATTTAATTCCATTTGTTATTATTTTTTAATTTGACTAGAGAGACACACAGAGAAAGAGAGAAAGGGAAAGTGAGAAAGCAAGCCACCAAGTCTACGCAAACCCCTGTCAGCCATGTGGGAATCCAACCCCTTTAACCACCACACCATCTGCCAGCCGCCGCCCCTCCCATGTATACTTTCATACCCATCAAAGTAAATATCTTCTCAGAAGCCATATTTTTTTTGAGAGAGGTTTTTGCTATAGAGTACATGCACTCGCCAGCCAGACAGAGAGATAGAGAGACAGAAAGCGAGAAATCACCCCCCAGGGGGGATGGCCACACCACAATCCCTTCTTCGTTCTCTTCTCAGGATCTTAGGCACGCACGCACACTCACCCGGCGTGAGTTTTAAACCACTGGGTCCAGTCCGCGGTCAACTACATGGGAATCCAGCGACATAGCCATTATGCTAACTTCTGGTCCCTCAGAAGCCATGATTTTAACATTTTAAAAACATCTTAGTTGGGGGTCTGACAGGTGGAGTGATGGTTAAGGTGCTAGAGTACCCATGGCTGACTGTGGTTCAAGTTCCAGACCTGGCAGCTTGCATTCTCACTTTCCCTTTCTGTGTCTCCCTAGTCAAATTAAAAATAATAATGATGATGAATAAAATTAAATAATTCTTAAAAATATATATGTGTGTGTGTGTATGGTTGATGGCATGGTCGATGGCATGGTCAATGATGGTTTGAGTCCTGGACCTGGTGGCTTACTTTCTCACTTTCTCTCCTCTCTCTCTCTCCCCCTACCCACTCTGATCAAATTAAATACAAATAAATAGTTAAATAATAAAAAGTTTACAAAGAAGAAATACATGAATCACTATTTTTGTTTTGTTTTGTTTTGCTATAGGGTGCATGCACTCGACAGAAAGAGACAGAAGGTGAGAAATCACCCCCCAAGGGGATAGCCATCTCACACATACCTGGTGTGAATTTAAGCTGGGTCCGGGACTTGACCCTCAGTTGACTAAATAGGAGCCCAGTAACATAGCCATTATGCCAACTGCTGGTCCCTGAATCACTGTTTTTAAATAGTATGATGAGTACATGAATTTTAAGGAAATAGGAGGGGAGGTGGCTAGTAATGGATGAGGGTGGTGGTATAATTTCAGATATCCTAGAGACAAGAGATGGTGATATTTATTTGAGTATATCTGTGAAGTACTGAATTTTTTAGCTTTTTAAACTTCTATAGGCTGGGGCCAGCAGGGGGTGTGGTGGTTAAGGGCGCCGGACTCCCACATGGCCCACTGTGGTTCCAGTCCTGGACCTGCCAGCTTGCTTTCTTGCTTTCTCTCTCTCTCTCACTTTGTCCCTCTCTAGTCAAAATTATTTATTTTTTTGCTATAGGGTGCGTGCGCTTGCCAGACAGACAGAGACAGAAAGCGAGGAATCACCCCCCAGGGGGGATGGCCATGCTGCAATCCCTTCTCCTCCATTCTTTTCTCAGAATCTTGGGCACACACACACACACGCGCCCAGAGTGAGTTTAAGCCACCGGGTCCGGGACCCGAACCGCGGTCAACTACGTGGGAGTCCAGCGACATAGCCATTACACTAACTGCTGGTCCCACTCTCTAGTCAAATTTAAATAAATAATAAATAAAGTTAAATAAAATAATTTTTAAAACCCATCTATTTAAAAAAGAATTATTTAACTTTTTAATTAATTAATTAATTAATTAATTAATTAATAATTTGACCAGAGAGGGACAGAGAGAGAGAGAAAGTGAGAAAGCAAGCTGCCAGGTCCAGGACTCAAACCGTGATAGACCATGTGGAAATCCAGTGCCCTTAACCACCACGCCACCTGCTGGCCCCAATAAAATATTTTTTTAAAGAAAAAAATCCCTGCAAGCTGGCCTGTGGCCTGGAGGTTAAGGGAGCCAGATTCCATATGGCAAACCATAGGGTTCTAGTCTTGGCCCCAGGAACTGCAAAACACGTTAGCATATGTACTCTAAATTCTGACAGAATCGAGAAATGGGGGAGAAGGAATTGCAACATCCTACGTGTGTGTGTGTGTGTGTGTGTGTGTGTGTGTGGGTGTAAGGAGGAGGAGGGTGCTTTCTCTCTGGGGGAAAGTTTTTTTTAAAAAGAAAATCATATGACAATTTTCTCATTCTGTTTTTCTCTTGGGCTTCTTATCTTTCCATTTTGCAGAGTTCAGTACAGACCATTTGTTTGCTCTTTGTTATGCCCGAGTTCCCGTAAGTGCCAAAATACTGTTTAGCTTTGGCAGTAGCAGATGCCTCCTGGGCCTGTAGCCAAGGCCTATTCTGAAATACAGTCCTCCTGGACAGAGTTGTTTACGACCTTTCACCTTATAACCAGTATTCTGATGGAAACCTACCCCTTGATTCTTCTTTCTGAGTTCTTGGATGAAAGGGGAAAAAAGGTCTTGTCAACTCCTGTCCTGAAAACAGGGTACAAACATTTGTGGGGTACAGGGGAGTAAAAGAGGGTGGAATGGCAGGCTTGGGAAGAATAGCAAAGTAGGGCTCGGCCAGGCGTTTTGCAAGTTAGGTCATCTTTACCTGTCCTTTCCCACCCTCTTCAACCGCAGTGCCAACAGGAAACCAAGTGGTGGTGGTTGTTTGTTTGCTTTACTGGAGGTGATAAAATAAAGCCAAAGGTTTCAGGGAGGGAAGCACCTTCAGCTTTCCCTTGGGGTCATCAGAGACAAGGCACTGACTGCATTTCTCTTTTCTTTCATCCCTGGCCTGACAGACATAAGAACCCTTAAGACTCATAGTTCCTAATGCACAACAAACCCTTTCTTTGTCCTTTTAATTATCCTGTCACCTCAGCTGAAAACTCTTTTACCCTCATCCCTACTCCCTTCCTATTTTTGCCCAAGGTGTAGTTTAGAGGCAAATAGGAGTTTGAAAGAGACTGTGAGATTTGAGACTCCCCAACTGTGTATATGGCTTCAAGTCATAGATTAACAGGAATATATTAATAACCACATAGTATCTTAAGAATTCAACATGACTTTTTAAACAACTGTCATATTGACAGTCTATAATGAATGAACTCCTTTATATAATGATGTCAGTGATATTTTATTTATAAGGTCATCTGTCATCTTGTTCCAGAAAGGATTTAAGTTTAGATTACTTCATTCAATTCTCACAATAATCCTGTGACTCAGGGTTGATTAAATCAGACTCAGAGGGTTAAGTAATTGGCCTGAGGTCACAGATTTAGTAAATAGAGCAAAATCTTGAACCCAGGTCTGCCTGACTTGAGGTAGCTATTCTTTTTTTTTTTTTTTTGGAGAAGTTTTTGTTATGGGGCATATGCGCTTTCCAGAAAGACAAAGACAGACAGACAGACAACCCCCTGGGGGGATGTCCACACCACAGTCCCTTCTCCTTCATTCTCTTCCTGTGATCTTGGGCACGCGCACACACTCACGCCCAATGTGAGTTTAAGCTACCGGGTCCAGGACTCAAACCACAGTCGTCTACATCGGAGTCCAATGACATAGTCATTACGCCAACTACTGGTCCTAAGGTAGGTATTCTTTCTTCCTGTTCAGTACTTTGACACAATATTTTGTTTGATCTTTAAAGCCTTGTAGAGACAAGACCCAGAGTTTTACAGTTAAAGGGGGAACTCTAGCAGCCTTTTTTTTCCAAACCAATTTTCTTATTTTGGCTAACTGACACAGGACATGTAGCTTGTATCTGGTGGAGCCACTCTCCTAACATGGGATACATAATATTTAACCTAGACTTCTCCTCTGTGGGATGCTTTGTGAGATCTCTTGGTTTTTAATTTGTTATAGGGCATGCTTGTGGGAGACAGAGACATAGAGAAGGAAAGTGAGAAAGCACCACTATAGGTGTGACCATGTCACAATTCTTCTCACAATTTTTTTGGGCCCTTGTTCAGCCCCAGTGTGTTTTTCTAGCCTCCGGGTCTGGAACTCAAACCGCCGTGTGAGATCCAGCCGTGTGAGATCCAGCCATCTTAACCATCATGCCACCAACTGGCCCATCCCTTTCTTTTCTTTTTTTCTTTTTTTTTGAAATTTAGTTTTAATTTTTTAAAGAATTTTTTTTTAATTTTATTTAACTTTATTTATTTATTTTAATTTGATCAAAGAGAGACAGAGTGAGAGAGAGAGAGAGAGAGCGAAAGTGAACAAGCCACCAGGTTCAGGATTTGTACCAGTCAGCCATGTGGGAGTCCGGCGCCCTTAACCATACACCACTTGCTGGCCCCTTAAAGAATTATTTTTATTTAACTGTTTATTTATTTTTATTTGACCAGCTAGGGACAGAGTGAAGGGGGGAGAGAGAGAGAGAAAGAAAGTGAGAAAGCAAGGTGCCAGGTCCAGTAATCCAACCAGTCAGCCATGTGGGAGTCCAGAGCCCTTAACCACCACGCCACCTGCTGGCCCTTTAGTTTTAATTATTAAAAAATACTATATCTCAGGACCAGCAGATGGTGTAATGGTTACATCAGTGGACTCCCACGTAGTCAACTACAGTTTGGGTCCCAAACCATGTGGCTTAAAACTTATGCCAGGCACATGTGCCTGTGTGCCCAAAATCCTGAGAGCAGTATGGAGAAGAGATTGTGGTGTGGCCACTTTTTGCTTTCTGTCTCTGTCTCTGTCTCTATGGTGACCGCACATGTTCTATAGTAAAAATCTCTCTAAAGAAAAGTTAAAAAACACTATATTGCCAACAGGTGGCATGGCGGTTAAGATGCTGGACTCCCACATGTTTGACTATAGTTTGAGCCCCAGACCAGGTAATTTACTTTCTCACTTTCTCTTTCTCTTTCTCTCGCTCTCCCTTTGTCTCTTTCTGGTGAGCTCATATGCCC